CTAAAGAAGCAAAAGAAGCCTCTAGAGCTCCAGCAAAGCAAGCAGTATCATACTCCGGCGGTGGTGTGGAGTCCTAGGACAATAGAAGATGCGAGAGCTCAAGAACGTCAAAAAAAAACACCAAGAAGAGCTTGAAAAACTCCAAAAAAAAAGAGAAACAATAGGAACGAGCTGCTAGTATAGCTCTACGAAAAAAATTAATAGACGAGGCAAGGACTGCGCGGGAGTTGAAGAAAATAGCGAGGGATAAAGAGAGAGAAGTGAGGGCCAAAGAACTCCAGTTAAGACGCGCCCAAAAAGCTCGCGATCGCGCAGTCGCAACTTCAAAAAAAGCTCGCGATAAGCAAAATATACCTAAACGAAAAGCTTCATCGTCTCAAAAGTCAAAAAAGTCAAAGGGTGGTGGTGATGCAGGCAGCCAAAGTGGTGGTGCGTCTGCATCGTCGGCTGCGCAGCCCACCACCAAAACAACGATGCGCGGCCGCAACATCAAACTGCCAAAGAAATTTGAGTAGATAGGATTGTTTTTTGAACTATTTAGACTACTCCACCAAAAAATCTCGTGATAATAGCTTTTGTATGGTGCTCTACAGCCTCATTTTTGATAGGCGGACATTTTAGTGGTGGTGTTGCATTGTCTGACCCGTTGCACGCATTGACCACCCACACTACAGTACCTTATGTAACTTGATTCTTTACTCAAGTCGGCCCTAAGTTTTAGAACACTTACCCCTGTTGTACTGTGAATCGGTTCACATGAATCTACTGACGCGTCACCTGAATCGTATCCATGCACCGGTAGGGGGCGGTCTAAACACCTATTCATGAATGTTGCCAGGGAGGCATGTGGAGAAATACTCGACTGTGGTAGACCTTATAACTCTCCTCCTGACCTATTTAGTGGTGAGCCAATCTTTCTTCTCCTTTCTACCAGTCGATTATTCATCCATCGCTCAAAACGATGGATGATTGGAACAGTAAAGCTAGCCTGGCGGGTCTCGCCTTGGCAATCATCATCTCGCTTTCTGTCCGCTATATTCTACGGTCTAGTGACACGAGTAAAATTCCGTTGATAAATCCCCCAAGTTGGTACGACCCGATGAACCTCTTGGGGAGGGTCAGATTTGCTCTGAATGCAAAAACCTGGGTGGAGCAAGGTCTCCAGAATGACAAACCTTTTCGGCTCTTGACGGAATTTGGAGAGCTTACCATGATACCGGCCAAGTATGCTCCAGAGCTTCGCGTTGATCCAAGGCTGGATGCCTCAGCAGTAATTGATATGGTATGCAATAACTATGTATTTGACTTCCTAGATTCTCTTTCTCAGGTTGATTTCTCTCAAGATTAGTCAATCCCATCTGCCTGGATTTGAGGGATTCCGCTTAGGAACCCCCGATGGCCATAATACCCGTGAGATTGTAACCAAGCATCTCTCAAGCTTTCCCGGTATGGTTTTTTGCATCTGGTTTAATGTAAATCACGTCTAAGATAACGGGTAGATGAAGTAACAGCGGCTCTCTCTGCCGAATGTGACTCTGCTTTGATAGACATCTTGACCGATTCTCGAGGTAAGTAAAATTGTTGCAAAACAACCACCATATCTGGCTAACGGTTGGATAACACATTAGAATGGCACGAGGTTCAGCTGAAAGAGACAGTGATGATGCTAATCGCACGCATGTCTGCACGTGTTTTCCTTGGCGATGAAGGTGCCCGGAACGAGGCTTGGCTTAAGATCACAAGAGAGTACACAACCAACGGATACATTGCTTCAGCAATCCTACGCCTTTGGCCTAAGCCCCTGAGACCCCTTGTCAACAGAATCTTTCCCAAGTGTCGCCAGCTACGGGCTCAAGTCTTGGAAGCTCGCAAGATTGTCAACGAGATCATTGACAGGCGCCGCAAAACTAAAGCAGATGCTCTACGCCAAGGCATTCCTGCACCCGTCTTCAACAACGCCGTAGAGTGGTGGGAGCAAGATACCAAAGATGAAAGCGTTGAGTATGACCCAGTCATCGGCCAGCTTGTGCTTTCACAATCATCCATTCACACGACGACCGACTTTCTCACGCAGGTCATTTTGGATATTGCTGCCAATCCGGAGGTCAAAGGTCCACTGCTCGAGGAGATCAAGCAGGCTAAGAGCACGTATGGGTGGTCCAAATCTGCTTTGTACAGTATGCGCCTTACTGAGAGCGTTATGAAAGAGAGTCAACGGATGAAGCCCATTGCGCGTTGTAAGTTTGGTTTTCCGATGACCCGCCAGCTCCATCCAATACCTAACCAGAGGAAACTTAGGCACCATGAATCGAATGGTACTGGATGACATGTATCTTTCTGACGGCACGCTATTAAAAAAGGGGGCTCTCCTGGGAGTCTCGGTAGACCGCATGTGGGATGAGCGGGTCTATGAGAACGCGCAGAAATGGGATGGCTGGCGCTTTTATCGCAAGTATCAGCAATCTCCAGATGCCAGGGATGTCCCCATAGTCAACACGGGGCCTAACTATCTGGCCTGGGGGTATGGAAAATTGGCTTGCGCTGGCCACTTCTTTGTCACCCAGGAGGCAAAGGTAGCTCTGGCACATTTGTTGTTGAAATATGACTGGGAGATAGTCTCATCTCCATCTGATACAAAAGTCTCGGCGTTTGGACTCGTGTTAGCATCTAACCTTAAGGCGAGAATTAAGATTCGTAGACGTGCTGAATAGTTTATTAGTAAAAATTTTCACATGTTATGCTACTGACTTGTTTACCTTCAAATTGTTGAAATCAATGGGAACTCTATCTTTTCTTTTTATCACTTATCTCTCTTAACCTTGAAAGCGTTGAACCAAATACGGCTGATATGTACATGTGACGAAGTTAACCCGTGGACCATCTCCAGAACTATTTTCTTTGGTTCTCAATATGTCGAGGTAGCACAGAGATATGAGATACTCCTCCATGACCCAGCAAAAGGAGGAGGATAAAAGTGAGATTATGAAGGAGAAAATGCTGATGGACTCGTGTATAGAAAGGAACAATTTTCCCATATAGTCGGCTATACGAACTCCAGATGGAAATTGAGAAAGAAAGATGCAGCTGCTACTAAGAGCAGACTCAAACACATGGATAAGGCAGATACCAAAGGTTCCGCAGCAACTGTGGATAACGTATGTGGCAAGCGAGCGCCGCAGGCAAGCGAGCGCCGCACCCCACCAAACCTGCGCACCTCTATAAGCCTGTAGTTCCACCACAATATAGTTGTTTTACTACATATTAACATAATAGATTAAGCAGTACCTAGAGTATCTTTCTT